CTGGATCAGGTAGTGACGCAGTTTATAAATATATATATAAAAATAAGGCAATATATATGTATGTTTTTCTAGGGGGTCTGTATGTGTGAGATATTTATTTTTAAATATACTTTTTTGACATGAAATACTGTTTCGAATGTTTTTTGTTAATAAAATATTGAATTTCAAAAATTATTTTCTAAATTAAATTTAAAATTTAGAACACAATCATTTCAAGCGAGCTATAGTAGGAATAATGCAAATTATAAATAGAGTAATAAAATTTCCTTGAAAACTAATGATTGTAGGTGAGAAATAACTACACTGGATCTTCAGACTGAGTTCTAGAGGGGTAAGGGCAGCGAATAATGTCTGATTTATTTTTTTGGTTAGGGGTCGATTCCCTTGAAAATAAGAAACCATGAATTAAAAACTATTCTTAGGATTTTATGAAATGAAATAGTTAGGGATAAATATGTTTATAGATCAGATTATTTTGAATATTCTGTAACAAGGTTTTTGTCGACAGTGAAATTTATAACATCTGCTTTTTCTTCAAAATGTATTGAATGAATATCTGAGAAACTTGACATTGTTTGATAATAATTATATAAGACATTTCTTGGAAGGTTTCTCTACAAAAATCTATTTTATACTTTTTAAATGTTTTGACTATGCAACGACAATCCATGGGGTAATACCCTGGGACCCCTAACAGGTGCTAGTCAAGGTCAAATTACTATATAGAATCATTGGGTTAATGGTTGTTCTTCAAAAAACCTACCGATCAATGGTGGCAACGGATGTAAATTTGGATAGGTGCAGTGAAAATTCGAAAGAGATTCAAATGACTCCTAATGATTTAGACTATATATATACTGTGGTGGGGTTTATTTAAAGTCGAACGCTCATATTTGTGCGGCGGAGGTACCATTGGATATTTAAAATACATGGGGAAAATGGCTTTGAAATGATTGATCATTTCATTTTTGCATCCAAACGTTTGGGGTTTCAAATCATCACTTCCCCTGAAAAAAAATTCCGTCTTAACCATTATAGCAGTGATAAAATTGGTTTCTTTGAATTTTTGTACATTTTTGAGATTTGACTAAGGTAGCACAGACTTCTTTACAATTTCAGTAATATGCAACCTACATTTATTTGGAAGCTTTATAAAAGAGTTATCCTGTAATGCGTGAGACATTTCGGCACGAAATATGAATCAAATTCTTTTAATCAACCTGAACTTTGCAAATAATCACTCCTTTACATGTTATCGTACAACGAATAGCACCAAAGAAAACGTTTTGGGATTTTTCTTGGATAGCAATCCCAGCCATAAAAGAGAAGACATAAAAGAACCTACTTCTGATTTAAATTTAAGTAGAAGGAGATTACAAAAGGCATACAAGCCATTTCCTGCCCCATAACTTTGCGTAAAGTCCTTTATCAAGAGCAAACTGTTAAAATGATATTCAGACAGCAGCAAATACATCACGTCTGTGAGAAACGGATATGAAGACGAGATGATGTTGATCAATGCAATTACGTCCTGAAATGTTTACTGACAAATTTATATTTTGCCAATTTTATAATAAAATGTACAATAGGACTTTTCATATAATCATATATATACATATATATATATATTAAAAAAATAAAATCGGTATATAGATAAAATGTTAAAAATTAGTACCAAAATTTCCTGGCATTTTGAACAAAAATTTTAGTTTAGATGCAATTGATGTTCATTAGAATTTCCATTCTAGTCCTTGAAAAACGTAGAATGAGGGTGATGCAATTACCGAGCTTTTTTGTTATATATGACATAGATATATATGCAAATATACAGTTTATATATATATTCTATGAATAGAATAAAGAAACACTTTTAAAAATCAAAAAGGGTATGGAGATCTGATAGACCATCTAATAATAATAATATCCAACAAGGAAAACAGTCATTTATTTAAAGAAAGTTACCTATTTGGATTAGATGAACGGGTCTAGGGATTATATTAGAATTTGTAGAGCCCTATTCTTCAGGCGGGTAGATATTGCATTCACCGTAAAATGAAAAAAAAACATTGAACATGGGTTATTTTAACAAGCATGCATTGATATTTGTGGATAGATAACGTTCATAAAATATAAATATTTCTTCGTTTTATTATATGTTAGTCTGGACAAAATTGGGATCAGCTTTTTGTAGATCAAATAAGGGGGCTTAAAAACCATCGATGTTTGATAAAAACATATTATATGATTTAGTCTCTTCCACCAACTGGATTAAACAATTTTACAGTATATATATTACATATATATAAACCAAATATTTTACTTTATAAATTGCGAGAAAAATCTCATTAATGGATTTTGTTTTGTATTGACCAAACAGACTTTTGTTCCTTCGATCGAATATATTATGTATTCATATATCTTACCCAAGTGTGAATCCTCTTCTTCTCCTCCAGCTATGGGAAAATAGCAGGACAGACTGGGTTCTATAACTTGGATAGCAACTGGTCTAGGAGAAGGACAACTCTGAATTCAAAACCTGCGGAGGGTCGTTTGGGGACCTTGTGGCACGTAGTGCACCAGGTCTCTGTATTCAACCCCTTCAAAAAAAGTGTGGTTGGTTCTGCACAAAAACCTTCACCACTATAATCAAATCTCATGTGCTGTTGTCGGGCTGTCGGTTTCCTGGGAACTGATCTGCTTGACCCTCATACGTCGAATTCGACGGGAGAGATATATATATATATATATATATATATTTATACAAATTCTAAATTTTGATCCATGTTTAAAATGTAATTATTTAAAATTAAATTAAAAATACAAAGAATTTTTTTAAATTCGATAATAAGAAAACTTAATAGAATGATTTTAATTAAATTTTTATATTAAAATTTAAAATTTTACATCGCTTTTTTAATTTAAATATAATATAGTTCACTATTCGTTCTCCAAACGGATGAAAATATTTATGTTTAATATTGAAATCTTTTATTAGACATCTCCTTAGGCACTGCTAGATGCCGTTTCGAATTGTTTAAGAATATTTTCCTGGAGACTTCCCCCCCACGAAAAAGGATTGATCATCTATTTACCTTCTTCAAATTTTGAATACAACATCTAACTTCCTGTTGATTGAAGAAAATATTTAAAAGGAGGTAAATATATACTAAAGTTGTTTTACAATAAATTTGATATTAATTACATTCCTAGAAAAAAATTCGATGGAGGATCCAGTTAGATGCCCCATATTTTTGGCGCATTTTGCCATGCAAACTGTTTAAGTATATGCTTTGAACAAAAAAGGTTTCTATCAACAAATGTCCGGTCAGCCAGATAAGTATCTTCCAATTTAAATCAATGTTGTCTCTATTATTTTACGATTAATTGAAAGATTAAACAATGAATCACTTGATGGAAAATTTTTCAAGGGTGAATCAAAATGGTTATGCTAAGGGGCAATTAAATTGAAGAGGGAATTCAAGTTAATTCACATGAATTTACAATGGATCTGTCATGTAGCGGAAGATAATTTCGAGGTGGACCAAATTATCAGAAACGCTTCAATATTAGGTTCCATGGAATAATATAAAAAAATATAATTTAGGGGGGATATTTGCTCAAATACTTTCAAAATTCATCATAGAAAGTTATGTTTATTTATTAAAAAAATTTATAGCGAATAAAGGGTATATTTACATATTTTCGAATATTAAATAAAAAATTTTTAAAGGGTTTTGAGAATAAAGTTTATATATATATATATATATATAAAATATATAGGGGGATCTAATATCAATGATAAATCGTTGAATTCCATCTTAAGATACATAGGGTAATAAATGCAAGACGAAAACCTATAATTCAAAACATTTTAAATATTGCCATATATATATATTTATCATTAATGTTTTTTAGATATGCTCAATATATATATATTATATATAAGGTTATATCTTATATTTATTTTTATTAAAAAAAAACTAAATAAAATAACTATGTTTATATATTAACTTCCGAGGTTATTTGAGTATAAATATATTTAAATTTTTTATTTAAATATTCTTTAAAGTATCATAAAATATTAATTACGCCATTGTAAAATGATATTCAAAAATGAGTTCTAAGATGAATATAGGTATATATATTAATTGAATATTATATTTATACTTATATTGTCAATATATATAATTCTTATATATATATATATATAGGTTATATATACAGGGCTTATATATTCTAATTTAAATCACATGCAATTTGCATGTAATCACAGGTATATCAAATTTGAATAGCAAACTGCACAGTTCAGAAAGTCTCATTTACTATAATCCATTTATTTTATTTTTCTTCATCCTCATATAAATATCTATATCGATATATAAGCCTGTTTACAAAGTCCTCATTTTTATGGGGAATCTTTTTTGGTTTATGACCAATATAGATGGAATAAAAAAATTTAAATTAATTACGAGTTCGAATATGTTATATATATATATATTTATATTGCGATATTAAACTAATGTTCCGTAATCATCAAAATATCAATAAGTCAATAAGAAACACTTTGAGTGAAACACAAATTATATCTTTTAAAAAAAATCTTTAAGATAAATTAATAAATTGTGTGCAGGTGGTTATTTTGCGAAAAGAACCCGCATAGAAATTTCAAATTAAACGTGTTTATAGAAACTTGGGGATAATATCCGCTGATTCCAGAAAATATAATTGAACATTTTGGCATGACGTTGTAGGTTTGAAACATCGAACAGCGTTCAGGGCATATCCGGATTTCAGGTATGCGTGACGTGGTTCTACCTCGGCTTTGATGATTCGATTCTGGGTAACAGATGCGAAGGAGGCGCCACGTTGAAGATGGATGATGGCTGAAGTCAGAAGGAAGGGAGAGAAGAGAAAGAGAAAGAGAAAAGAATGAGAATCAGAGAAACCATACAATTTTTTAAAATAATACAAAAAGGCAGAGAAACAGATTTGGAATATGAATGTATAATGGTAAGGAAATTTTAAAAGGTCTTTGCAATGTATGAATCGGAATGTGGGTATTCAGATTATTTACGTCTACATATCTGGCGGAATTAAGACAGAGGAATAAAAAAAATGTGTGTGCGCATGCGCGTGTATTTCGCGCGCGTTTTTGCGTGTAATTGTTCCGCTGCTCTTGAGTGCGTATCCTACGTTCACAACATCAATCTACATACACATAAACCTTACTTTGGTTGGTTGGTTGCTTACTTCATATATATATATATATATATATATATACACACATACACACACACTCACACTATATTATCCGCCAAAAGATTGAGGAAAATCCCTAATAATTTTTTGAATTAGCCGCAAAAGTATTGTCTTGTATTTTAAATATGAAAAAATTGAACATGAAAAAAAAAGAAAAAAAAAAAAAAGAAAAAGTGAGACTTTTTTTTTATTAGAAAAGCATTTTATGATTAAATTTTCTCTCGTCAAAATATCTTCCTTTAGCCTTGATTACTGCAACATAAATTTTGGGTATTTGTTGGAAAAGTTACTCGAAATATAAGTTTGATAACTGACACCATTCTTTTTTCTATGATTATTAGGAGGTATTCGTTCTGAAAACTTTTGAACTTTAGTGTATATATATATATATATATATATATATATGGATGGGTGGGTGTGTGATCAAATGCAGATCAAATATAGATAGGAGTCCGACAGAATTATACGATAAAGAACAAATAAGTAACGTTTATCAATCTAACATGTTTCCCGTTTATTAAAGCTTCAATAAAAGCGAAACATGATACATTGATATAGGTTTCCTAATTGCTCTTTATTTTATATATATATATATATATATATATAATTTGGGCAGCAATTCTTCTTTTATACATGTTTCGTTAAAGACGAGTGTTTAACCGTGTTTTAAAATAAAAGATTCCTATAACTTCACATTAAGTTAAAAGTAAAAAAATTAAAAAACTTTTTGATAATGGCTAAAAGAATATTTATTATTTTTATGCAGAACTTTGGACAGTTTTACAGATTTTTGCAAAGAAAAGAAAACACTTTAATGAAAACAAGAAAAATTAAATGAAAAGACATCTCAATCGTAGTGCCTTGTCAGTTGCCTTTTATAAATATATATATATATATATATATATATATATATATATATATAATATTTCTTTGTTTAATTATGATTCCTTCGCTACATAAAATTTCTCATGTTTTAAAAACGAGAGCCGAAACCATCCCAAATTTCGCTTGAAGATGAAACGGGACTAAACACCTCAATTCAACTTAATTTTAATAATTATTTGGATGGTTTTATATCGTTTTTGAAACATGAGAAAAATTATGAAGCGAAGGAATCATATTTTTAAAAAAAAATATTATTATAATAAAAGTTCTACTTCTGTATGGTTACTGTCTTCTTTTAAAAAAAAAACAAAAATATAAGGAATATATAAAGATAATCCTAATTTGAATTTTGAAAACCTACCTAGGTTTTCACCTAAACGGATTTTCAGGGTACAGCCTGCTCTTTTTCTTTGGACTTGGAGCTTAAACACTGGACGATTGTTTTTGCATTACAGTGTAACCCGGATATAAGTGAGATTTTCTCTGGTCCCAAATTAGAGCCTGTGATAATGTATATAAAATAGACCAAACCCGGATATAAGAGACTTCTTCTCCAGTCCCGAAAACTCTTATATCCGGGTTACACTGTATTTAAATATTCTTGGTTCTATCGTTTTTTTTTATTCCCAATTTTTCTTCGAGTACCGATTTGTTCTACTGCAAATTGAGCTATCCGAGGTTTTTCCAGAACTGTACCACCATATATATATATATATATATATATATATATTTCGCTGAAAACAACTGACAAGGTGCAGCGGTTGAGATTTTTTCTTTAATTTCTCGTATAATATTTTATTTTAAGGAAATACATTATATAAAAATTATTCGAATGTTTTCCATATCTTTATGAATAAAGACAAAAGGAATTTTTTCTTTACCAATACGTTTCGTCCCATGCTCAACTTTAAGGTAAATGTCAGAATTTTATTTTGCTGCGAGTATTTATTAACAGAAGTAAAAAAAAATATCGTTAAGTTTCAAAATGTTTAAATTTAAGAATACTCTAAAATATTCTTGAAGTTAACTGTGTAAATAAATGTCAAATTAAGGAGGATATGAGTGATATACATATATTTAATGCCTCATAAACGAAAGTGAGTAAATATTATTGCTATATTTTATTTCCTTTATATATATATATATATATATATATATATATACACACACATATATATATATTGTTTATAATTTATCAAATTAAAATGAAATATATATATGAAGAAATATAGTTTTAAGGTGTGCTATATTTATGGGATAAAGTGCTCAATATCAGAGAGAGAGCGTATGTAAATATAAATATAAAAGTGAACATTGAAGTCAACATTCAGACGTAACGGACTGTTTCATGCTGGACGCAATCGTCAGGCCGCGAATGTTGGATATTTCCTCGGCTATTTATATATATGGGTCAGTAGGTCATTGTGAGCAATATGTCCTGGCGGTTATTTTGCGGGTGTGGCTTGTTTGTTTATATATATATATAGCTCGAGGTAAAGGGACGTCTAGTCAAACGATGAGCTGTGATACAGCGAAACAGTGTGGATGAAAAGAGCGTGAAACCCAGGCGCAAAAAATCTCATCAATCCAACTATATATATATATATATATATATATATATATATATATATATATATATACAGTGTTAAGGTGTGCTGTATTTATGGGATAAAGTGCTCAGTATCAGAGATAGAGGCGTATGTAAATATAAATATAAAAGTGAACATTGATTTAACATTTAGAGGCGACAGGCAATCATCAGGCCTGACGAATCATCTAGCATATGAAAACAGCCTGTCGCCCTGAATGTTGACTTCAATGTTCACACACACACATATGTGAGAGAGAGAGAGAGAGAGAGAGAGAGAAACGCTATAATAATGAATAAGGGTTTGCAGTCGAATCCATTACATTCACTTACGTGCTAATACTCTTGGGAAAGGTATGGATCTTCTTCTCCCTTCAGCGTTGGGTAAATAGCAGGACAGACTGGGTTCTATAGCCTTGGATGGTATCTGGTCTGGGAGAAGTACAACTCTGAATTCAAAACCTGTTGAGATTCGTTTGGGAACCCTATGACACGTAGTGCCCCGGGTCTTTGTATTTGTCCCTTCAAAATTCGACGGGAGTATATATATATCTTTTTATAAAATAATTAAAAATGCCAAAATTAACCCATGGTTCGATACAAATAACTCCTTGTATATTAATGTGTCTTATATAAGTTCCAGAAAATGTAGACAGGATGACACGTCTCATAGACTCGAGCCCGTATCTGCAAGCAGAAATTACATACCCACACCAAACCTTTAACCTACATTTTTCACTTTTCCATCTTAAATTAGACCTGTTCCCTGATTCGTCAAAATAGACAACACCCATTTATAATTTTGAAATCTCATTCCCCCTTCCAACTTAGACTCTTAAATATAATAATACTTGGCTTTAAAAAGTAAATCATTTTTCTGAAGTTATTCAACATCACTTGATAATGGATCAAAAATTTTAATTTTTAATTCCGAAACACTAATTTCTGTGTCGCGATGAAAACATATTTTTAAATAATAATATAATATTAAGCTCGACTTCGTATCGAGCAATTTTTAAAAATAAATGCTAAGGAACTGTGGATTATTAATCTGATTGTTTTTATTTTGATTTTATATATAAATATATATATATATATATATATATATATATATAACAAAACGAAAACTTCCTTTTACTTCTGTCAAATCCATTTTCCTTACTTTCATATTCTTTCCATCCGCTCTCTTCTCTTTCTTCCTTTCTTTCTTTCTTATTCCTTCCGTCCATTCATTTCCTTTACTTTCATTTCTTTTCTCTTTTTTCCTTCTTTATATCTGATTTCCTTTCTTTCTTTTTCCTTCCGTTCATCCATTTTCATTGTTTTCTTTCTTTCTTTCTTTTTACTTCCTTCCTTCCTTTCATATTCCATCCTTTCTTTTTCCTTCCTTCCATACAATTTCCTTGCTCTTTCTTTTTCCTTCCTTTCTCCCATCGATCCATTTTCCTTCCTTTTTTCCTTTCTTTCTTTCGTTCTTTCCCTTCTTTCTATCCAATTTTTTTCTTTTCTTCATTTTTCTTTCTGTCCGTCAATTTTCCTTTCTTTCCTTTCGTTCACCCATTTTTTTTTTTTAGTTTTTTTTTTACTTCCTTCCTTTCATATTCCTTCCATTCTTTTTCTTTCCTTCTATCCATCCATTTTTCTTCCTTTCTTTTTTCCCTTCTTCCTTCCTTCCTTTCTTTCGTATTCCTTCCATTCATTTTCTTCCCTTCTATCCTTCCATTTTTCTTCCTTTCCCTTCTTCTTTCCTTTTATATTCCTTCCATTCTTTTTCTTTCCTTCTATCCATCCATTTTTCTTCCTTTCTTTCTTTCCCTTCTTCCTATATTTCCTTCCATTCTTTTTCTTTCCTTCTATCCATCCATTTTTCTTCCTTTCTTTCTTTCCCTTCTTCCTTCCTTTCATATTCCTTCCATTCTTTTTCTTTCCTTCTATCCATCCATTTTTCTTCCTTTCTTTCTTTCCCTTCTTCCTTCCTTTCATATTCCTTCCATTCTTTTTCTTTCCATCCATTTTTCTTCCTTTCTTGAAAGAATTCTTCCTTCCTTTCGTATTCCTTCCATTCTTTTTCTTTCCATCCATTTTTCTTCCTTTCTTTTTTCCCTTCTTCCTTCCTTCCGTATTCCTTCCATTCTTTTTCTTTCCATCCATTTTTCTTCCTTTCTTTTTTTCCCTTCTTCCTTCCTTCCTTTCATATTCCTTCCATTCTTTTTCTTTCCTTCTATCCATCCATTTTTCTTCCTTTCCCTTCTTCCTTCCTTTCGTATTCCTTCCATTCTTTTCTTTCCTTCTATCCAATGTCCTCCCTCTTTCTTTTTGCTTCCTCCCATCCATTTTTCTTCCTTTTTTTCTTCCTTTCTTTTGTCATTCTTTTTTCTTTCTTTCTTTCCCTTCCTTATATCCAATTTCCTTTCATTTTCTTTCTGTCCGCCATTTTCCTTTCTTTCATTTTCTTTCCGTCCATCCCTTTTCCTTCTTGTTTTTTTCTCCATCTTTTCTTTTTTTCTTCCTTTTATCCAATTTTCTTCCTTTCTTTCATTTTCCTTCGATCCATTGTCCTTCATTTCTTTCTGTTCCCTACCTTCTATCCAATTTTTTTTTCTTTTCCGTCCGTCCATACTTCTTTTTTTCCTTTATATATATATATATATATATATATATATATATATATTAATTTAGGCTCTACTTCCTTATTGAACACTGTTTTAAAAATAAAAACAAAAATACTAAAGAACTTTGGATTATTTACCTAACGAGTTCTTTCCTATTTTTCTATATATATACATATATAAGTATGGAATATGCTAAGTGAACCAACTGTAAAAGGACAAGATACCACCGTAAAAAAGTTACATTCTAAACTCATGTAAAAACCCGACCAACGTTTACTAGTAGACTCAACAATAAATACAACCAACTTCTAACTATAAGTTCAAGTATAAACTCGACTTATATTTATTTATAGATTCAAGAATATGCTTGACCAATGTTTGCATAAAGACTCAAGTATAAACTCGATACACATTTACCAAGAGTCTCTAGAATAAACCAGACTAACTTTTATCTCTAGACTCTAGTGTAAAAACAATGTTTATATCAAGCATCTATTATAAAACCAACCAACTGTACTCAGGTATTAACTTGCTCAATATTTACATACAGCGACTAACGTTTACCTATAGACTCACGTAAAAACCTGGGCAATGTTTACTTAGAGACCCAAACAGATTACGACCTCAGATAACCCAACAAGATTCGATATATCACAAAATCCATCAACCCAACCTTTTTGGTTTTTTTTCTATCTTACTTCATTTGATAATTTTTATTGGGTATATTTTTTTCTGTTTTTTAAAATTGTACATTTTCTTTTTTGTGTTTGCGTTATCCTAGCCTATGTCTTTCGCTTTTTCTATGTGCCTCCTCGCTGTAGAAAGTATTTTACACTCTTTCTACCCTTTGAGAACCAACAAGAGGCAATTACAACGAGACTTACTCATAGCCGACCCAGTTTTTCAATATTTTCCCGCCGAAACATATTCGTACTTTTCCGCAATTTTCTCGTTCCAAACACAGTCTTGGGGAATATTCAAAGCCATTTAAAATCTTTTCTTTTTTTTTTTTTTTTTTTAATGATCCAATCTTTGCTTCGTTTAAGCATTTATTCAGCTTACCGATACAGTTTTCATCGGCATTGAGACGTGCCTTCATTTTCTCCAGCCGATCTTTCTTTGATTCTGTCGGATTTATTTTTTGTCTTTTTCAAAGAGTTTTTTTTTTTTCTTTCTTTCTGTTTCGATTTCTTTCCCTTCTTATCACGAGTTTTTTTTCTTTTCGTTTTTTTTTTTTCTTCTTCCGTCGTTTCTCGTATTTTTTTTTTTCTTTTGTCTCATCAAATGATTTATACGAGTCCATCTTTTCTTACCAGTTTCTTTCTTCCTTTAATTCTATCTGAACATTTTCTTTCTTTCCTTCTGGCTAGTTTCTTTCCTTCTTTTTTTTTCTCTCTCTCTCTATCTGCTTCGATTTCTTTCTCTTTTTATCGCGATCATTTTTTTTAAAAAAAAATGTTTTCATCCCTTATTTCTCGTTTTTCTTCCTCTTTCGTATCATGAAATCATTTACACAAGTTCATTCGTTCATTCTTTGTCTCTCTGCTTTGAATTCTTTCTCTTTTATCGCGATGATTTTCCCCCCTTTTCTTTTCTTTTCTTTTTTCAATTATTTCTCATTTTTACCCTCTTTCGTTTCATGAAATGATTTAAAATACTCCACCTTTTCATTCGGGTTTTATTTTTTAATTCTCTTTAAGTTTTTAATTTTGTTCTTTGTTTCTTGTTCATTTGACCTTCCCTTTTTCTTTTTTTCTCTCTCTCCCTTTCTTTCGATGACCATCGTTTTTTTTTTTCAATATACATTGTCTTTTCATTCTATGAAAGAAATATATTCTTTTTGTAGTATTTCATTCTCTCTTTCTTTCCTCATTTCTTTAAAAGTATTCCCTTTTCCTCCTTGTGAATGATAATCTCTTTCCTTTTTTGCTTTCCTTGCTTTTTCCTCTATTTTCTTTCTTTCTTTGTATATCGATTTCTTACTTTCTTTTCACTTAGGATTTCACTTATTGTTCTTTGATTCAAATTAATTCTTTATTTGTTTCTTTCTTTCTACATCTGTCAGTTTCTTTCTTTTGCTATACTTTCATTTTTTTTTCCTTTCTTTCGTCTATCAAATGGAAACTTTCTTTTTTTTAATTGCCTTTTCTTTCTTTATTTTATTGCTTTCTTTCTCATTTTTCTTTTCTTTCTTTCTTCGAGTTTCTTTTTTCTTCTTTTTCTTTCTTTCTGTCTTTTTCTTACTAGTTTCTTTCTTTCTACTTTCTGTCTTTCAACCAATCGTTTCTAATGTTCTTTCTTCTTTTTACTAGATTTCTTTCTTTTTCTTTCTTTAAAATTACTAGTTTCTTTCTCATCCTGGAAAAATCTTTCTTATATCTTTTCTTTCTTGCTACTTTCTTCCAAAAACTAGTTTCTTTTCTTGCTACTTTTCTGTCTTCAAGGCCTAGTTTCTTTTTCTATCTTTCTTTCTTTCTTATAGTTTTTTTCACTTCTATCTTTCTTTCTAAATTATTCTTTCTTTCTTTCTTTATTCTTTCTTTTTTTTTTTTCTTGCTATTTCTTTCTTTCTTACTGATTTTTCTTTCTTTCTTTTCTTTCTTTCTTTCTATTTTCTTTCTTTCTTTCTGTCTTTCTTACATTTAGTTTCTCAATTTTTTTGGAACTTTTTAGTTTCTTTCTTTAACTATTTATATTTCTTTCTTTCTTTCAGTTTCTTTCTTAACTTTCTCTTTCTTTCTTACTAGTTTCTTTCTTGCTACTTTCTGTCTTTCTTACTAGTTTCTTTCTTGCTACTTTCTGTCTTTCTTACTAGTTTCTTTCTTGCTACTTTCTTCATTTTCTTGCAAGTTTCTTTTAAACTTTTTGTCTTTCTTATAGTTTTTTCTTTCTTCTTTTCTGTCTTTCTTACTTTTTTCTTTTTCTTTTTTTCTTTTCTTTTTATTTTTTTCTTTCTTGTCTTTCTGTCTTTCTTTTTTTTCTTTCTTGCTTTCTTTCTATATTTTTAAAACTAGTTTGGGGATCTATTTTCTGTCTTTCTTACTAGTTTCTTTCTTTAAATTTCATCTTTCTTTCTTTTTTCTTTTTAAATCCTTTTCATTTTTTTTTCTTTCTTGCATTTTCTCTTTCTTTGTTTTCTTTCTTTTTCTTTTTCTTTCTTACTAGTTTTTTCTTTCTACTTTCTTTTTTTTTTTTTCTTTTCTTTATTTCTAATATTTTCACTAGTTTTCTTTACAATACTTTCTTCTTTTTCTTTGATTTCTTTCTTGCTATTTTCTTTCTTTTTTCTATTTTTCTTTCTTTTACTTTCTGTCTTTCTTTTTTTTTCTTTCAATTTTCTTTCTTTCTTTCTAGTTTTTTCTTTCTACTTTTTTCTTTCTTAAAGTTTCTTTCTTTTTTCTTTCTTTCTGTCTTTCTCCAAAATATCTTTCTTTCTTTCTTACTAGTTTCTTTCTTTCTTTATCTTTCTTACTAGTTTCTTTCTTGCTTATTTCTGTCTTTCTTTAGTTTCTTTCTTGCTTTTTATCTTTCTTTCTTTTCTTTTGATTTCTTTCTTTCTTTCTTATTTCTTTCTTTCTTTCTTTCTTTATTTTTTTTTTTCTTTCTTGCAACTCATTTTTCTTACTAGTTTCTTTCTGTCTTTCTTCCTTTCTTACTAGTTTCTTTGTTTTTCTTTTTTTCTTATTTCTGTCTTTCATTCTTGCTAGTTTCTATCTTTCTTGTTAATATTTTCTTTCTATGACTGAGACTCCATTTCTTTCTAATTTCTTTTTCTTTTTCACTAGTTTTTTCCTTTCTTACTAGTTTTTTAAAATGGATCTTCTTATTTTTTTTTCTTTCTATGACTGAGACTTCACTTCTTTCTTACGTTCTTCACCAGAATTCCCTTTTATTTGTTTTTCGTTCTCTTCTTTTCCGCCTCCTTCCCTTTCTTTGTCTCATCATTTGTGACACATATTCACGCCCACACCATAACCTTCCTTCCTTATCTTGCCTAATTTCTCTCTGCCCTTACGTCCTGATGAAAGATAAGATTAATGGCTGACTCCTCAAGTTTGGTGTACACCTCTCTGGGCATGCGCACCTGTGTGTTAGCAGGCGGTATTCACGAGCACTTACATACTCACGCAGGCGCACAGGTAAACAGACTTTATGCAATCTTTCAATTACACATATACACCCCAAAATATTTCAGATTGGCGCGCATGAGCAGACGGACACTTGCACACGAACTGACACAAGTGCAAATCACACAAACGAACGAGGGCGTATTTTTTTACACAAAAAAGTAATATATATATATATATATATATATATATATATAAAAATATATGTGTGTGTGTGTGTGTGTCTAAGAGAGAGAGAGAGAGAGAGATGGAGTTCACAGATTAAAATGTCTACAAAATCTGCTTAAGGGAAAATTATATTTTTATATATTATTATGTAATATTAAATTTGATATCATTATGTATAAAAAGTGTTCATAGCTTCCGATATGTTGTCGGCAGTCATAAACACTACAGACATAGAAACCAGTATAGCATGGTTACTGGCAATTTGGCGCCTTCAGCGAGGCTTAGTTCATATGTCTAATATATATATATATATATATATATATATATATATATTTAACCGTTTCACCCCAAGCAAGGCAGTAAGCCACTAGCACGCAAGGGGTTACAGAGAGTTGTAAGCGAGAGTAAAGAGGAGTGATAAAGGAAAGGATGAAGAGAAGGATAGGGGATAGATCAGGGCATCTGGAGACGTCGATTGACATTACATTTGAATAGTTATAGATTATAGCTATCAGTGAAACAGGGAAAAGGGGAGGGAGTTCCACAGGCGAGAGGTGCAAGACATGAAGTTATTGGAGACGTGAAGCGACGGCTACATTTAACAGTTTCGACAGTGAAAGTGTGAGAACGAGATGCCAGCCTAGTTGAACGCTTAAATTGATGAAGTCTGGGAACCAGCGAAAGCAGCTCATCGGAGCAGTTACCATGAAAGTATTTGTAAAAAAGACAGAGGGAGGCGACTGCAGACGAGATGCCAGATCAAGGCCAATTATATTGCATGGTGCAATGTATGAAGTCCGGCAATTATTTAATGTACGTCTATATAAAATATTATCAGTAAAGTAAGAGGAATAACGTACAAACTATACTACCTCGAATATATATATATATAAACATATGGGAAAATGATATATAAATTTTTATGTATCATAAAAAATTTAAACTTTAATCAAAGTCCTTTACAACCTTTCACCTTTGCAAAGGTTCCATTATCCAAATATGAAATATTTTATAACAAAAGTGATGGAAACACGAACAAAAAGAAGAAGAAAATGTAAAAGAAATCTATATATTTAAGAAAAAATTATATTCAAAAGGCTCAGCTTCTCTCCTTCGTGCGCATGCGCAGTCGCACGACAGAAAACAGCATTTAGTTTGGATTAAAGAACGAGACGCATCACACGAAAACTTAATTCCATTTTATATTTTCTTTCCGTACCTTATGCATGAGACGGTGACAGAAAGAAAGAGGAATAGAATTTCACAAAGCAAAATCAGTTCAATAGAGGGTAACATTAATTGGGCATTTCTGATTATTATATATATATATATATATATATATATATTCGGAGATTACATCAAAAACATGTAAAAAAAAAAAAGTTACACAAATGCAATCATGTTTCGATGTGAATTAACACATCTCATCAGGCGTTAGTAAATAACTGGTGAGTAGACAATTTATTGAAATTTAAAAACAAGATACACCCTCTTTTCACGAGAAAAGGAAGAAAAAAAAAGAGTCAGAAAGAAAGATAAAAGATACACGCTTTTCACGAGAAAAGGGAGAATAAGAAAAAGTCTAAGAAAGAAAAGGAGGAGATAGTTGCAGGGTTTGTTTTGTTTTTATTCAGATCAACCAATCGGTATGGCCTACGCTCAAGTTCAAAGTAAGGGGAAAAACGAAAGTTATTTTAAAATATATATATATATATATATATATATATATATATATATATATATGTGTGTGTGTGTGTGTGTGTGTGAAATGAGAACGAATAGAGTCCAATTCCGATGTTCGTAACATTCAATTTAAAAGAGGGCTCAATACAAAAGTAGACCAATATTCTTTATTTTAGGATATTGCATCAAAAACATGTAAAAACGCTACACAAATGCAATCATGTTTCGATGTGAATTAACACTTCTCATCAGGCGTTAGTAAATAACTGGGGAGTAGACAATTTATTGACATTCAAAAACAAGATACACCAACTTTTCACAAGAAAAGGGAAGAAAAAGAGACGCACTGATTATATATATATCACTGGGTCTATTTAGACGTATACACAACAAAATAGAAAAAAAAAGCTTCGACTCTATACTGCAGATGACTATATTTCTAAACACATACGTACATTTACTTACAAAAATAAGCAGAATTAGCGATGGTGAACTTATACACATACATAAACCACACACACACACACACACATATATATATATATATATATATATATATGTTAATTCAATTTAAATAGAAAACAGACAAGCTTAAAAGTCCATTGGTTATAATTTATTTCCCTAGGTATATGGTTTTTACCTGCTTCATTAGATCTCACCCCAAGGACGAAAAAAAAAATTGTCTGATTACATCACTCTAGATGACATCCTCCTTGGTATTATCTATGCGGATTACTAAACTTTTCATTACTTTATTTATATATATATATATATATATACGCACATATGCATATTAGAGGGAGAAATAGAAACAAGTACAGGTTGCAATTTCCACTGCGATAATGCTGAATAGACAAAGACCCTTACCTTTAATTTTTTTTTCATTTACTAATTTAATTATATATGTCATCAAGACATGGGAAAATGTTATTTATTTCTTTGCTTTAGCCACTTTTTAGAATTCTTCGACGTTCGTACATTTAAAAAGTTTCCCAAAAGAAGATGCTGAATTCTTTCACGATAAAGATGACGCCTCAATAATATATCCACACAAAACTAAATTACGAGATTCATTAACTGAACTGCATCAGATGTAATTCCGCGCAGACACACACACATATATACATATATATATATATATATATATATATATTATTCCCAAAACTCATTATGTAGACAATAAAATATTTTCTATCACACAATAAGCACACGGTTTTAGATAATGATTGCCACGGTCTCTCTCTCTCTCTCTCTCTCTCTATATATATATATATATATATATATGATAATAATAAAGGAAAGAAAGCAAATGTGATATTTAGTAAAACTTCCATGAGGAAAGCCGTTAATACGGATCCGTGGACACATTCCAGAATGAAGAATTGTAGTAATTTATTTAATTACATGTTTATAGAAAGATGCATTTCTACAACGAAAACACTGCAGCATAATTGCGTTAATTTGTAGTCCAATTTAACAATTATACATCATTGCACACATATATGTAATATATATATATATATATATATATATATATATATATATATATACATATATATATATATATATATATATATGTGTGTGTGTGTGCACATACAAACACAGATATATATAATTGTCTCAGTGCAAAAGCATAGAGCAGCATTTGGTAATTTGTCATTTATTTTTGCCCCTTAACTTTTGAAATAACTTTAAAACTCATTATATACACACACATACACAATATATATATATATATATATATATATATATATATATTGGGTGCGATGGGTAAATTGTCGCCATTTAGTATTTTAAATTTCGCGCATGCGCGTTGTTTCCATTTTGTCGGCTGCACAGTATATTTGGGTCAATTGGATCATACATACATACATAAGCACTGTTACGCATACAAAAACAATTATATGTATATATATATATATATATAGATATGTGTGTGTGCATATATATTTATATATATTATATATACATATGTCTATATATAAAGGAAATTCCTTGTTCATTTTTCATGAAAGATATATATGTATATTTGTAAAGTAAATGCATGGTGTAATTATCTCTCTCTATATATATATATATATATATCTATATATATATATATATATATATATATATATATATATGGTGAGAAGGAGTGAGAGAGGAAGAGTTTGTGTTGTCTTTGCATGACATACAAATACAGTTTTGGTTCTTACAATAATTGCTCATCCGTGACCATCATGTCCCCCTATCGTGATTTGTTTACGATTCGTTGGTATCCATTAGGCATCCATTTTTATACACGCACTTACACAACACACACACACATATATATATATATATATATGCTACATTACATTATTATAAGGATAATGTCCAAAACCAGAAAGTAGGAAACAAATGTCAACGACAAAAGATCGCAAAACAGACAGACAGACTTACAGGACGGACAAAAACACCCACCAACCATCACAGTTTCACGCTTGCCAATCCCTCTCCCCCACGACGCTTTTCATTTACACGCGTTCGCAAACTTCCAAGCCCCATGATAAATGCACAATAACTGATTGCACAAACAGAAACAAGCATGGGAGCATGCCGAGGCTCGCCATGACACAGAGGCACGCGGTCACATGTACAGGAAGAAGAGCGGTTTCTTTGCATGGCTGCCGCCCCTCTCTTCCGCCATTTTTTTTTTTTTTTACTGAGCTACACGAGCACATGCGTACGTCGGATCGCACGCGCGCAGAGACCGACGCACGATGGATTTTGCTGAAAGCGCAATTCCTTAACGATAAGAAAAGGCGGGAAAAGCAAAAATGAAAGTAGAAATGATCAGATGTTGGTGGAGGATGAGGAGGAGGTGGTGTTGGTGGTAGAAAGCAAGATAGAAGAAAAAAAGAGGAGGAGGTGGAGTTCGAAATGTCTCCATTATGCCGGGGCGCGCGAAAGGGAAGAATAATCATTCTTACGACAACTCTTGTTTTGTTTATTTATCCTTTCATTTTACTGTGGTTGTTTTCTTCGTCGTCGTATTCGTCGTTGTTGTTGTGGCTATTAGCATCGTTATTTCATATTGGAATGTTTTTTGATGGCGTTTTTTTTTTCTTCTTTTATTATACGGGGTGGGGAACCTATTTTGAGACGCCTTTACAAAAGACCGCGTACACACTTGTACATTTGAGTACGGAGGCACAATTAGCAAGTGCGATCGATTCCATATCGATGTAGAATCATTTATGCAGGCGAAGAGGAATCAAGGCCTGGAAGCTCACTGACTCACAAGGACTGATCAATGCTTGGAATTGTATGTATGAGCAAACACAGGATGCACGGGCTCTGTTTATCTATGCATCACCACTAAGGACCAGCGGGTGCCTGTCAGAGAACCAACGCCCTCGTTCTTTTCTATCCCTAGTCTTTTCAAGACGTCAACGATCATAGCCCTCCACAATTTCAGGTCTTTTGTTTTTTTGGTTTTTTTTAGCAGTGAATTATCGCAGGCTTTTTTATTTTATTTTTTTTTTGCGGGGGAAGGAAATTTTCCTTCTCCTAACTCCTAGCTTTGATATGAAGCTCATCCGCTCATGATATTGTGTGTTTCTTTTGAAAAAGTGTAACAAAATAAGATATACATTCTGTACCAGCCTAGAGGGCTAACAGAACAAGATAGACATCTATAGCGACCTGGAGGGCTATCGTGTTCTGTAACAAACCCTATACCAACTTGGAGAGCTATCTTGTTCTATTCGCCCTCCAGGCTACTATAGAATGTCTATCTTGTTCTGTTAGACATTCTATAGTAGCCTGGAGGGCTAACAGAATAAGACAGATATTCTATAGCAGCCTGGAGGGCGAATGTTACAAGACAGCTCTCCAGGCTGGTATAGGGTGTGTAACAGAACAAGTTAGTTCTCCAGGTTGGTACAAAATGTCTAGCAGGAAAGATAGTTCTTCGGGCTGCTATAGATTGTGTACTCGGACCAGATAGCCCTCCAAGCTGCTATAACAGATTGTACTTTCGGAGAAATCCCCACCCTCTGTGTAAACAGGAAATATTTTAAACACTAAACACACATTCTCTAAACGCATGTACACTTCTGTCCCTAATCATAGATAAGCTTTATTGGAATTTCTTTTGCAATTTATACTCCCTTTAGTCGAACTTTTCAATTTATAACTGACGTACCCTGTGTGGCAACCTTTGGAGATGGTAGGTGACAAGGCAGCAAAGAAGCCGGAAAAGAATTCCACAGGCGAGAAGTACGATAGAAGAAACTATTAGGATAAAACCTCCGGTTACATCCAGCTTTTCAACAGTAAAACAAAGAGACCTAACTGCCAGTCAAGTAGTAGGCTTAAATTCATGTGCGAAGGTACCAAGGAGGAGAGCTCGTTAGAGCAACTGTCATGAAAATATTTATAGAAAAGATAGGGGGAAGCTACACCGGGGCGGTGGGAAAATGATTGAAGCCGAGATGCCAGGTCAGGGCCTATTACATTGCAGACCATTCTTTGGATTTTGTTGCGATTTCCGAAATATACAGCAGGGGCCACCAGACCATTTATGGCGGTACGGACGATTGGCAGAATTATAAATCTGTAAGATAGATTCTGGTGTGAAAAGTTGTCTGGCACGACGCAGTGAAACAGCTTTTCTAGCAGCAGATCTAGCAATTGTTTTAATATAATCGCTCCACTTCACGACAGTGGAAAACACGAGACCAAGATGGCGCAATGAATTACTCTCCCGGAGGTTAGCATCAGCCATTCTAATATAAAAAAAAAAAAAAAGGTTACAAAATTACAAGCCATTTCTTGCCCCAATTAACAACTGATTGTAGGTCATTTTCGTGAGCGGCTGCCAGTTTTATGCTGTCGAGCGTATCGTACTTGATATTAAAGACTGGAGTAAAAACTTGCGTCATCAGTATAAATACTTCTTTCGTAATTGATTACACTCGTAAGGTCGTTGATAAACGTAGCGTCAAGGAGATAAACCTACAGGATCCCCGGTATTAGCGGGAGATGATCTAAAAGGGTGGCCGTTCAACACGATGTTCATTATATGATTTATGAAGAACGAATGGATTAAGTCAAATGTTCTGTTTTTATTTTTTTAGCATTCATATATAACCGCTGCAGCAGGCAAGACTTGCACCAAGAGACATCAATCAGAGGTCACCAGAAAGAGGATGCCTTCTTCGGTCTTCTAGAAGACAAAGTCGAACACCAAGGCTGACAATGTGTGTAACAGCTGTCTAATATTTTTTATATCTATCTATACATCCATCCATCTTTTCTTATCTATCTATCGATCGATCTTACTATCCTTCCATGTCTATGGTTTAGTTTGGTTTGTTGTGTTTTACGGATTATCAACCTCATTGGGTTATCTAATGCCGACAACTTTCTTTTCCTGGTAATATTTCGTTTTGTCAAAAATCTATTCTGGTAATATTTTTTTTTCCTCAAAAATGTATAGCAGGTAATATTATTGTAAAACATGTATTGCTGGTAATATTTTCTTTCAAAAATATATTTCCTGGTAATATTTTCTTTCAAAAATATATTTCCTGGTAATATTTTCTTTCTAAAATATATTTCCTGGTAATAGTTTTTTTTTTCTTTAAAAATTATTTCTGGTAACAATTCTTTTACAAAGTATTTCTGGTATTAAAACCCATTTTTACAATGCTGTTTACGTCAGTTTCGGGGTTAACTATTTGCCCATAGCTGGGACCCTAACAGGTGCTACCACCCCGGGTCAGAGTAGACCTGGGAACACCAGCAATTAAAAGGTGGTTCCACGCTCCTCAAAACCTCCTGATCAGAGGCCTTGCTGCTGGACGTAGTTTATCGTCTTACCCAGGACGCGGATGTAGTTTATTGTTATAACCAGGACGGCTGTACCTATCTACCTTTCCTTACGTATCTATATACCCATCTACCTTTACATATCTATACAACTCTCTATCTACCTTTCTATCAATCTATCTTTCGTATCTATCTACCTTTCTTTCTATCTATTCACTATATTTCGTATCTATTTCCGGATCTATCTTTCCGCATCTGTCTATCTATATCCATCTTTCGTATCTATTTATCAATCACTCTTTTCCATATATATATATATATATATATATATATATATATATATATATATATATGTACCTATCATTAGGTAGATATTTAGCTTTCTATCTTTTCATATATGCCTATCTACCTTTCCGTATCAATTCACCTATCAATCTATCCTTTCATATTTTTTAACGTCAAAAAACGACATTATTACGTCATTATTTTTGCACCAATCTAATATATACCTAGCTATCTTTTTGTATCTATCTAACTTTCTATCTACCTATCCATCAATCCATTTTTCTGTATTTATATACCTATGTTTCCGTATCTATCTACCTTTCCATCTTTCTGTATCTGTCGACATTTCTATCTATTCACTATCTTTCGTATCTATTTCCGTATCTATCAATCTGTCTAGCTAGCTAGCCATCTTTCGTATCTATCCACCACTCGATCTCTTTCTGTATCTATCTACCTTTCTATCGTCTCGTATCTATATATCTACCTTTCCGTATCTATCTACATTTCTATCTATTCAATCTATCTTTCAGTATCTATCTATCTATCTATCTATCGGTATCTATCTATCTTTCGGTATCTATCTATCTGTCTATCTTTCGGTATCTATCTATCTGTCTATCTTTCGGTATCTATCTATCTATCTATCTTCCGGTATCTATCTATCTATCTATCTATCGGTATCTATCTATCTATCTATCTATCTTTCGGTATCTATCTATCTTTCGGTATCTATCTTTCGGTATCTATCTATCTATCTATCTATCTATCTTTCGGTATCTATCTATCTATCTATCTATCTATCTATCTATCTTTCGGTATCTATCTATCTTTCGGTATTTATCTATCTTTCGGTATCTATCTATCTATCTTTCGGTATTTATCTATCTTTCGGTATCTATCTATCTATCTTTCGGTATTTATCTATCTTTCGGTATCTATCTATCTATCTTTCGGTATTTATCTATCTTTCGGTATCTATCTATCTATCTATCTTTCGGTATATTTATCTATCTTTCGGTATCTATCTATCTATCGGTATCTATCTATCTATCTTTCGGTATCTATCTATCTATAGTTACGTATCTATGTCTCCATCTAAACTCTTCTCTTCCCTCAGCATTTATTTACAAATCATGTTTTTATCTATCTGGTTGTTTCGCTTCTTTATGGCAGGCTCCATCCAGACGGAATGACATACAAATTAATGCGTAACGGAAGTGCTTTGGAATTTTGAGGAAGAGGTAAAAATAACTTTATCAAATATTACCACCAGTATTGGCACCGTATGGAAGCCATTAACGTCTGCTGGATTTGAAATTATTCCACACCGATTAAATCGGATATTTTTTTCCTCTTATAACACGCATATAATTATATCTATGTATTGTTTATTCATGTAAAATGTTTGCATAATAAAACTGCTATTTACCAACCCATGTCAGTAATACACCATATATGTTTATATTTGCAAAAGTACCATATTTGACGGCGTATAAGGCGCACTTTTTTTTTTTTTTTTTACTAAAAATATCTTTTAAAATTCCCCCGTGTCTGATATGCCATATATAGGTTTAGAATTCGCGATGGCTGGCTGAAATTAGCTACCTTGCAACTCCTATTAGCTTAGACAAAGACATTAATAGCAATGAAACACTTGGATTGCAATGCCTGATAATCTTACATTTACAGAAATTACACTAAAATACCCCCCCCCTCGGAAATCTTATGCCCATTTTAAAATCAGATCGAATGAGTATTTCTGCTATTTCTTTTGTTTTTACCAATATATTTAGAAAAGTACCGTATTTGACAGCATATTAGTCGCACTTTTTTGTACTAAAAACATCTTTTAAAATTCCCTTGCGTCTTATGTAGGTTTAAAATTCGCGATAATCGGTCGAACTTCGATGACGCGATATTTAATGACGATGACGGTATCAGAGTTTTGATAATGAAGGCGACGAATTTTATGGATTTGAAGATGAATCAAATTTTAAATGGTAACTGTACTGTTTTGCTCAATTGTAATAATTGCTTTGTTTTCTTACCTTTGGATATAATAATAATATTTTATAGGCGTGTTTTCTTTTTTCCTATTATTTTTTGTTTATTTGTAATCTTGGTTTGTTTAACCAAAATAATACCCCATAAATATAGCCTAGGCTGTACCATTTACTAATAATTTTACTAATTACTAATTTTTTCTTGATTTGCCCTGCTGAAATTGGTGTGTGACTTATACTCCCGTCAAATACGGTAATTGTATTGTGAGTTTCGAAATATAATATCTTTAGGAAACACTAATTTGCATAATAAAATCTGACAGATATGCATACTTTCTTCATGTATCTCAGTTTGTTTGCGACTATTTACTCATTTAATCTCGTCCTTTCTCGCGTTAAAAATATATCCACGAAAACAAGCACAAGCTTTAAAAGATAATTACGTCAATCCTTAGTTTAAAATAATCTGTATCTCTCCAGGATTAGAATTAGTTAATTTTGTTCGCATCGCAATCCAAGACGAACCTTCCAACGCCGACACAGAAAAAAAATACAATCTAATAAACAAATAGAATTCTCTAAAGAAAGAAATAAACTAAGCCAATCAAAATAAACATCTAAGAATTGTAATCTCCTTCACTCAGCATCTCGAGAATCACGCACTTCGCGTGGTTTCAAGCCCCAGACACCAGGGGGTCCAATTTTTGCCTACCTACTGTTATCACTTTTTATTTAAACCCCCCCAATTTACCTACCTAAACCAAACAGCCACCGCTTCCTCTCTCAACTGCTCTTACCACGAGTTCCCTCAAAACGATTAGTCATTGCTGACGGACTTTTGGCGGGAAATGCAATGATCAAAAAGTGGCAGAGCGCCACCTAGCGGAGAATGTGAGCAGCGGAGTGGGCCACGATACTGCCAAAGGGTTATCTGGCAAACGCAGGGTGGGGTTGGGAATGGTGGACAAACTGACGAGCAACGAAAAAGGCAGAGACCCACGTAAACAATTGATGTGGGTGGGGGAGAGTATTGGTAATAGAAAGGGAGAGGTCATTAGTAAAAGAAGAGGAACGTTGAGAAGAGAGGGAGAAAAATAAGAGGAGAGAAAGAAAGGAAAAAATGTACAAGGTAAACATGAGAACAGAAGAACTTTGTGAAAATTATTATTATTATTATTATTGTTGTTGTTGTTGCTACCTTCAGTTTTCCGAATCTACAGTTTCGTAGACGGACCCTGCAGCAATCACTCCTTCCACCGGTCAGGGGATAAGACCGGCAAGAAATTGGAGACATAAATAATATTTATTGTATATTAGTCGGCCTTTTGACAAAATGGAAGCATGTGTGAAAAAGATTTTAAAATCGGAATTTTCGGACACGCCTGTGTCCTTTCTCAACGAGACAAGAAATAAAAAAAATCACTATCTATAAAAGGCAGGATATGTGTGTGTGTGTGTGTGTGTGTGTAATGAATGCACGGCCGCAATTTGCACCAAAATTTACATGCACATGCTCCAAGTTAGCGGGAAGGCTAAGACCGACTTTGCATTTCCCAACTCCCATCGATAGTGGAAATAATCCATTTTTTCATGCTTCTACGTCAGTTTTCATGTAGTATGCGGCCATTTTTTACTTTCCAGAGTGAGAGCCTATAGCTGGCTGCCACGAATAGGCAGGAATATTCTATTGGCCAGCGTGAGAGCCAACAGCTGACTTACATGAATGTTAACTAGCATGCTAGCGTGCAAAAAAATCGATAGCTGCATTCGTCACAAGTGGGAAAAATTTAAATCTGCATGGCACTTTACTTCAATTGGCTCATTCGCTTGCTTAAACTCAATGTTGATTCTGATTCCGCAGAACTGGGTTGGAAAAAAAGTATTTATTGTTAACATTCTTTTTTCATTCGGTTTTTCCAGTTACGAGTCCTTTTTTAAAGCTGATCGTTTTGTGTTCATTTTGTTTAGTTCTTTTTTAGTAACAGATTTAATGTTTAGTATAGAGCTTAGAAAAAATTCGCAGTGTGAGATAGGCAAGAAGTAAGGCATGTAGCAACATCAGCATGGCAAAGGGCACTCCTTTAAAGGCAAGGAAGGGCAAAAATATTTTAAGTCAAGTGATAGCGATTGCTGTATGAGTCGTACGATTTTTGAATCAAGCACGGACAACGCCGGGCCATGCTGCTTGTAAAAAGATAAAGTGGCGTTTATTTTTCGGGGAATTTGTTTTATATATATATATATATATATATATATATATATATATATATATATATATATATATACTTATAAAAGAACTGATAGTCAAAAAGCCTACTAATATATATATATAAGAAATATTATTACTATTATTATCAATAGTGCCAAAAGGTTATCTGGCAAACGTAGGTGGGCAGTGGAAAAGGGATACAAAAACAACAAAAAATGCAGAGACTCTTGTAAACAATTGGCAGGGGTGCGGGTGTGGAGAGAATTGGTAATAGGAAGGGGAGAGGTCATTAATAAAAGAAGAGAAAAGATGTGAAGAGAGGGAGAAAAATAAGAGGAAGAAGGGGAAAATGAACACTGAAACTATGAGAACAGAAGAACCTTGCGAAAATTATTATTATCATTATTATCATTGCCTAATTTCTTTCCCTTTAATTTTACTTTCCTTTTATCGCAATTTTCTAATTGTCATTCTAAGATATTTACTAGATCGGAAATAAATAATAAAGCTAGTGTTGAGCTACCATTCACGATCACGAGACAATTGTATAACCGATTAGGCTACGAAGGCTACTCAGTATTAGTCGTTAAAATCCCGCCGTGTAAGTTCCATCCGGGCAGCTTATTCCCACAAACCGCTGCTTTTTCCGTCATGGGTATGACTATAAACTACATCCGCGTCCGGGGTATGACGATAAACTACATCCGCGTTCTGGGTATGACGATAAAATACACCCGCGTCCTGGGTATGACGATAATCTATATCAGTGACCTAGGTATGACGATAAACTACATCCGCGTCCTGGGTATGACGATAAAATACATCCGCGTCCTGGGTAAGACGATAAACTACATCCGCGTCCTGGGTAAGACGATAAACTACAATCGCGTCCTGGGTATGACGATAAACTACATCCGCGTCCTGGGTATGACGATAAACTACATACGCGTCCTGGGTAAGACGATAAACTACAATCGCGTCCTGGGTAAGACGATAAACTACATCTGCGTCCTGGGTATGACGATAATCTACATCAGTGACCTAGGTATGACGATAAACTACACCCGCGTCCTGGGTATGACGATAAACTACACCCGCGTCCTGGGTATGACGATAAACAACATCCGCGTCCTGGGTATGACGATAAACTACATCCAACAGCAAAGCCTCTGAACAGGACGTTTTGAGGATCGTGGAACCGCCTCTTAATTACTGGTGTTACCAGGTTCACCCTGACCCGGTGTGGTAGGACCTTTTAGGGTCCTAGCTATGGGCAAATAGTTAACCCAGAAACTGGAGTGAAAACGTGTAAAATAAGTTTTAATATCAGCAATACCTTTTTGCAAAAAAAATATTACCGCTAATAAATTTTGAAGAGAAAATTATTACCAGCAATAGTTTTTGGGAAAAAATATTACCAGGAATACATTTTTGAAAAAAAATATTACCAGCCAAAAAAAAAAAAAAAAAAAAAATGAAAAAATATTACCATTTTGAAAAAAATATTACCAGCAGTAAAAATCTTGTGGGTATTAAATAAACCATTGAGGTTGATATGCCATAAAACAAACCAAACCAAACCAAATCGCTGCTTTTGGAACAGACTCACAAGAGGATGTTTCTGCGATCACTACAATCTTAAACTGTTCAAGTCTAGGGTTAACCATTATCTTCTCCAGGTATCCGCATAAAATTGTGCCTCTTACTGTGTAAAATTCGATCTCGAATGACACTTGAGGAATGTAAAGGATGAACATCACCGTAAAAAAATATTACTTTTATTCCTTATTTTCTTTGAAAGCATGATACACCACATTTTTATTACATACTACAATTGAGATTAAATAAGGGAAACTAGGAAAG